CTAGAATGTGCAGTGGCCACTGCAGAGTGAGTATAAATAGGGTGCCGGGTCATGAGTTAGGGGGCTCGTTTCTTGGTTGGATAGTCCTATGGATATCAGGATTTGCTGTGTGAGTGTTAGCATTTGGTGAGAGAGGGGGAGGGAAACCATGAGATGTGCCATTGTGACAGTGGATGGGGCTGGGAGTGACCTGGGAGTTTGATAGATGAGCCAGGAAGAGGTTGAATGTGCTGCCGTCAGTCTCACAGGAGGATGGAAAGGAGCTCAGAGGATTGGAAAAGAGCTAGAAGAAAACTCTTCTTCCTCCCACCCCTTCTCCATGGTGAGGGAGGGGGGTGCAGAGGATGTCTCCCCCACTGCAGGGGGCTCTGGGGAAAGCAGTGACACCCCCTCCAGGGCAGGCAGGTGTCCCTTAGGGCTTACAGAAGGGAGAGAGTTCTGGCCTGCAAGCTGTGGCTGGGATTAGCTCAGCTCTTAATTCTTTCCACTGTTTCCAGGAACAAAGTAATGTCCTAATAAAGAAATAAAGTTGGTTTTGACAGCTAATCAGAAGAGACCTGAAGATGCCACATTTGGGGAAACAGTAATGTCTCAGAATCCCTTGTTTATGAAGAACTTGCCAAATGAAAACTTCCAAACAGATATCAGATTCCAGATACTCTTTGTGTTTGTATATTTCACTGCTGGTGATGCTAGTCTTCTACAAGGCAAGGTCAATAAGAATATGCTATTCTAGTGGAAAGAGTGCCAAGTTTTTTCATTCATTGACTTGTTTACTTGTTCATTCATCCATTCACTCGTGGTCTATTTACTGCATGTCTACTGTGTATGCGGTGCTGTATTAGGTGCTAGAGCTCTAATAGCGAAGTATCCAAAGGCAATCCCCACTTTAGAGTCTGATTTCATAAACTGGAGAAAAATCACTATACAATAAGTTGCATCAAAGTGTTGGGCACTTTTTTCTACATACATGTATACTAGTTCATTAAATTTCTAAGTCTTAAAAAGAAGCAATAAAAATATTAAGAAAGTATAGACGTTTGTTTAGTTATTCTAAATAAGGCATTTCTTTCTGGTACTATACCAGTTATTTCTCAAAGTTGATATAACAATTTAAGATATGCTGTATATCAGAAAACAAAATTTAAACGTAGAAGGAGGGGATTCTAAATTTTTGCTAAATGAATCCAAGTTTCAATATGTTCAATAGAAATGCCCTTATCAATTGTTAAGAAAAAAACAAACATTAATAAATAAGCAAATATGAATATAATGAGTAGATGATTCAGAAAAGTAATACAAATGGACAATAAATAGGTGAATATGTTAACTTTGATAAAAGGAGTATAAATTTAAAAGTCAGTGAGATGCTAACTTTTGGCTATCAGATTTACAAAGATTGTTTATAAGATGATGTTCAAAGTTGAACAAATTGCCTGACGGGAGCAGTTTGGCCTGAACATCAAAAGATCTATCGTTCATACCTTTCACCAGCACGTACGATCAAAAAGCCTATTCAAAGGAAATTATTAAGCTGTGCACAAAGTTTTAATCATAGACATTCATTAGGGTTTTGGCATAACAATACCTGCCAGTCAAGTTTAACTACATGCCCCTCCCATCTGTACCCACCTTCTGTTTAAATATGACTGGTCCTCTGCAGGCCAAGATTGTTCTCCCAAGCAGATGTTAGCAGCTGGCACAGGGCCTCTTACTCGTCTCTCCTGTTGGTTCCTGTAGCTGTTTCTGCCCATGCCTTCCTTCCTTCCTTCCTTCCTTCTTCCTTTTTCCTTCCTTCTCTTCTTCCTCTCTTCTCTTTCCTTCCTTCCTCCTTCCTTCCTTCCTCCTTCCATCTTCCTCCTCCTCCCTCCCTTTCCAGACAAGGTCTCATCCTGTCCCTCAAGCTGGAGTGCAGTGACACGATTACCACTCACTGTAACCTCAACCTCAAGCTCTTGGGCTCATGCAAGCCTACAACCTCAACCTCTTGAGTACCTGGGACTATAGACCCTTGCCACCATGACTGGCTAATATGCTTTATTTTTTCTAGAGACAGGATCTCGCTGTGTTGGCTAGGCTGGTCTTGAACTCCTGGCCTCATGCGATCCTCCAGACTTGGCCTCCCAAAATGCTGGGATTATAAGCATAGCCAGCATGTCTAGCCGTCCACTCATTTTTGATATTTGCAGTGGTCCCCAGCCTTTTTGGCTCCAGGGGCTGGCTTTGTGGAAGATGATTTTTCCCTGGACTGGGGCTGGGGGCCTGGGGTGTGGAGCTCAGACAGTGATGTGAGGCCCATTTCTTAACTGGCCACGGGGCGGCAGTAAAGGGCCATGGCCTGGGGGTTGGAGACCACAGATAAGACCTTTTGTGCTACCTCTATGTTCACATGCAGTTATGTAATCTCTGCTTCTTTCTCTTGTCAATACATTGCCATTTTAAGTATGAATAGAGCATTTGTTCATTAATCAGCCCCTCTGGGGCGCTTCTCTAATTGGATAGTAAATTCCTGGAGCTGCCTTAGTTCCCTACTGTGCATGTACCCAGAGTCATTTGCTGAGCAATTAAAGGAGGAAAGGTGTTAAGAACTGCGGGCTTGTTTGATTGGGGTCCTAGAGAAGGGGTCACAGGTTGCTGCTCACAGTTCCCCAGGAAGATTTCTCTGCTCAGTGAAAGTGTGCTCTCACTTTTGCTGAACAATCAGAATCCATTTTCCCTCTATCAGATAAATTCTGGAGTCCACTGAAAGCGGATCATTTATATTTTATAAAAATTTATAATAAAGTTCCCAAATCTTGGAACGTTTACAAGATACATATCTAAAATACAAACACATTCTTAGGACAGTGGTTCTAAAAGTGCTATCTCTGAACCAGCAGCGTCAGTATCACCTGGACACTTGAGAATGCAAATTCTCAGTCTCCCCACCCAGACCTATTAAATCAGAAACACGTCTTCCACGTGATTCTGATGCACGCTAAAGTTTGAGAACCACTGTCTTAGGGTAGTAACTACTCTAAGTAGAATTTTAGGAAATGCTGTGGTCTATGCCAAAAGAATTTTTTATTTTTTTATTTTTTTTTTTTGGTATATGAACGGATGAGGAAAGGTTGGGCATACTCTGGGTTAAGTATTTTATTTAATCCAATGTTATTGAAAATTGGGTAAAGAAAATCTGGTTTGAATATGTTTGATTACCATTAAAAATCCATTTTTGCTGACTGGCCTTTCCCTCTCTCTTCTTTCCTCTTCATATTTCCACATGTAAGACGAGTTGGATTTTATGTCAATACTTTCAAAAACGTTTCCAGCCTTGAGGCCAAATTTCATAAGGAAATTGCGGTGGTGAGTCATGATGATTATTTTTACATATGGAATATAAAGTAAAGGAAGATTTATTTTGGAAACAAATGAAATGGCATAGCATTATCCAAAGAATTCACTCTTTTTTTGTATGTTTCTTTTTGTTTGTTTGTTTGTTTCTTTTAGCAGTGTGTTGTTACTCTTAGTAATGCTTGTACAGTTTTAGTAGTGACCACATAGTTGTCTACATGTTTGGAAGATTTTGTCATAGTTTCAAAATCTTCTTTTTTTTTTCAGTTAGTTTATAAAGTTGGAATTTCAAGTGGTGTTTTAGGCTAATGAAAAATCGATCTCACAATGTTTAGATAATCGGCAACTCTGTTATTGACTGATGTTTTCTTAGTTGAAGGGGGTGGTTGTGTGGCTATTTCTAGTGGAGTTAATGTAAACAGTAAGCTTTGGTTTTCTGCTCTGTACTCTGGTTAATAGCTATATTTTGATTTTTTTTTTTTTTTTAGTTTATTTGTACTTATTTTTAGTTTTGACATAGATTTTAAATTTGGACCATGTAATTCTTTTCAGTTATCCTGAGGCCATCCAAACTAGCATAAGATTCTTAGTTTCTCAATAAACAGTTTTTTCCTTGGGGAGAACAGCCTGAATTGGCACCAGGATGACTTGCAGCTAATAGACAAGTGGCCTCTGTCCCCTTAGCTTTGCCACAAACTGTATGAAGTGATGACGAAACTGGGCGACCAGCACGCCGACAAGGCCTTCACCATTCAAGGAGCCCCCAGGTAGGCCACCGTTGATCAGAGCACCTTGAACCTGCTGCCTGCTGAAATGTCCGCCATCTGTGCCCAGCCTGTCCCATTGTATCCACCCTGTAGAAGTCTCAAGGGGGCCCTTCCACCTGGAGGCTGACACCAACCTCTGTTCCGTGCTTTTGTGTTTACTTCTGGTCTCAGCAAGGGTTCTTGTTGTCACAGTAGAATTGACTCTCTGCCCCTCTCTGCTTTCCATGGGATCTGATAGCCATGGTGTGAAATTTTAATAGCTCATTTTTAGTTGCACACTTGTTACTTTCTCCGGAGAAGAAAGGAATTCCCAAAACCTGTGACAGTCCTGATTCTTATCATGGGTGCTGACGTCCTGTTTTGAGAAAGGAAAGGAGAAGTGAGACCTCCTCATCATCTTACCTCCTAACTCTTGATCTGGCAGATGCTGGGTTGTTTCTGTTCTGTGGCATGTTGCCGTTATGAGCATGCCAGTCAAATACCCCGAAGGCTGGGTGATCCACGTAGGTTCATTGTCTCCCCTGCCAGAGTTCAGCTTCACGCCGCTTTCTCCTGTGATTTTGGGACCCCTCTTATTCCATCCTTCTCGGGCATTATGCACTCAGAGAACTAAGGCTAGCGAGCCTTGGGCTGGGCGTCAGAAGACCCAGCTTTCAGTTTTGTGACCCTGCAGTTAACTTGCTTTCCTTGAGTAAGTCCAATAACCTCTCTGGTTAAAGGTCTCATTGGTTTTTTTTTACTCCATAGAGAAAAAATAAGATACCGTTGAACTAAATGGCTTCTAAGGTAATACATAGTCCTGACAATCCATATTTGCAATTTTAACATCAATCAGTGCCCACACTCATACGCATGCAGTTATGACAACACGCATAGTCATACACATGCACCAACTTCTACCTGTGGTCATGTTTGGATTCCTCTGGAGAAGACTAGTTTTCTTATTCCCTGCTCTTGGATTAGACATGCTTGTAGTCTCTGCTTTGGCTGCTGTACAAAGGGAGCCATAGCTGTATCTCCTCTTTCCCGGGTGAAGAACATTACCTGAAAGAACACATGAAAGGGGCAGAGTTACTGTTTTCAGTACAGTTATTTCACTCCTGAGCTAGGCAAAATTAGAACAGGAGTATCGAAGTGATATTTGGGTTTTTTAAAAATTCATGGTGGCTCCCTTAGGTGGAAATGAAAGAGGCAAATGCACATGACAGTTTCAATGTTGCTGTATTAGATAAAGTGAAGAGAAAGTGGAGCCAGGACCTGCTTAACAAATGTTCCTTTCATTTTTTTCAACATTCCTCTGCAGAACAAGGTGGTGAGTGAGCTCAGTGGAGTCCCTACTAAGCGTAGATGGGGCTGTGTTTCCCGTCAGAGGACATGATTGCTGGCACGTGGGCCCAATCATGCGCTGTGTCTGTGTTCTCTCCCGGACCCATTCCCTCGGCCCCTGAATGTGTAGACCATGCTGCCGTGTATGTGCTGTCTTATTTTGGGGTATAGGCTCTGTTCTTTCTAGCTGTAGCCTTTAGAAATTCTTAGAGAGTAGGATGTGTCCTGAGTGCTTCTTAGTCATCACATTGGGGCTGTTCCCAAGCATCTGGCCCGGTGCGGGGAACATGGTGGCTTCTCAGTAAACATTACTGAATCCCGCCCATCACACGATTTGTTTGTACATTTCAAGGTGTCTGCGTTGAGTCATTGTTTTAGAAGTTGTAGAAAGGGAAATTAATTAGTGGATTTATTTCCAAATGTCATCAGAAAGCACTCGTACAAAATCTTTATTACACTATCCGAAGGCTGCCTTTTAATGGAAAATTTCCAATTTTCAGAGTAGGTTTTTCTATAGATTGGGATGTGGAAAGATTCTCTTGTGAATAAAAAGTGAAACCAGTTAAATGAATTCAGCCTGTGTTGGGAAGATTCTTGCAGAGCTTGTTTGAAAGAACAGGGGGTTTGGGTTACTAAGACCTGAATTCAGATCCACTAAACTGCTGGGTGACTTTAGGGTTGTTCTAACCTCTCTGTGCCCCACTTTCCTCACCTGAGAAGTGGGGACAAGAAGACATGGCTGCTGCTGTGAAGATAAGAGATAATATATGAATGGGGTCTGGCACATGGTGGGCAACAAATGGTACCAGTTGTCACCATCACCATTACCGTTAGCCAGAATTAACCTGGAAGGGGGGGCGGGGTAACAGTACGTGTTATGCTTTAGGATTTCTCTGGGATGGAGAGGCCCTGATCGGATGAGTGCTGTTCCTTAGAAGGCCCCTTGCTTAATCTCCTGTGTTTGTCTAGTGATTCGGGTCCTCTCCGCCTTGCCAAGACACCGTCACCGCCCGAGGAGCCCTCACCCCTCCCGAGCCCGACAGCCAGTCCGAATCACACGCTGGCGGCACCTGCGTCTCCCGCCCCCGCACGGCCGAGGTCACCTTCGCAGGTAGGAAGATGAATATTTTGGTGGGTAGAAGAACTCAGGGTGAGGCGGCCTGTCAGAGATGATACCATGTAGACGTTTTCAGCTGGGGAGACTGAGGCATGAGGTTCTAGGTGTTGCGATTGTCACTAAGGAATCTACCTGTGTTTCCTGTTTGACTGTTTATATTTGCTCACACGCCCTGCGTTTGAGTCTGTTGGGACTTCCCGGCACCTTCTCAGCTTGTTCAGGCTAGCACGCTCTCCTCTCCTGCCATCTCTCTTTTAAGGCTCCATTTAATCCTGCTTTCTCCATAAAACCTGCCCTCTCCTACGAGAGGTTTAGGCTAGGATCAGGGCAAAAACTGCCAAGAAAAGCTATTATGTTTCTGTGTCATTTCACATTTTTTTTTTGTATCATTTGTACTATGCTGCATATGAACAGCTACTTAATAAAACTGCAAGGAACACAGGATTGAAAAGGAACAGCAAGGGCTGGGAAGAGTTAACTGTAGAGAAAAAATGGCCAGCTTTGTTTTCTCTACTTTGGGTAAAAAGAAAATTCCTGTAGGAAAACTCCAAGCCCCCAGTCCAGTTCATGCTTTCATGTACAGACGCTTCTTGACTTACCATGGGGTTACGTCTCAATAATCCCTTTGTAAGTGAAAAATATACTAAGTGAAAAATGCGTTTAGTACACCTAACCTAGTGAACATCGTGGCTTAGCCTCGCCTGCCTTAAATGAGCTCAGAACACTGACGCTGGCCTGCAGGTGGGTGGAATCACCTGCCAGCACGGTGCACTGCAGAGCGCTGGTTGTTTGCACACATGCTCTCGTGTGGACTGGGTGCTGCGGCTCGCCGCCCCTGCCCAGCACCACGAGAGACAGTCTCAGCTTCCTTCTGAATGCATGTCATTTTGCACTGTCAAAAAAATCTTAGCTCGAACCATCTTAAGTAAAGGACCATCTGCATATGGTTGAACCAAGGAAAGTCTTAAGAGGATATACATAATGGATAGACCTTTAAATTTCTTCATTTTCAAAATCCTGGAGAGTAAAGTAAAATGTAAGCTGCCTGTCATTGATCTCATTGATTCAAATGAAAAGCTTGCTTGATTTTAGTTTTGAAATTCTAATGTATCGCCGAAGTCAGAAATCATTTTCAGTTTAATTCGGGGAGAGTATTGCCTTAGTTTAACCTTGAAGTTATTGGTACCTGCCCCTACACTCCTGAGTACAGTGTTTCATTTCATTTCATATTTAATGACCTAATACTTGTGTTGAGATGAATGGGCTCTCATAGCCTGAGTTTTGTTCCATTGGACCCTTGCTTGGCAGTGCCCAAAGAGCCACCCACGTAGACAGCATTTCTTCCCCTAAATCAGGTAGGATTATTTCTATACACAGATCTGTTTCAATCAGAGATAAATCTGTCCTCCTAGCTCTGTTCACATGACATTTCTTCATGCTTCATGCCATTTCTTCACAGCATCTTTAGCTGAATTGATGTTTATATTTAATGCTTCCTAGACAAGGAAAGGGCCTCCCGTTCCACCTCTGCCTAAAGTCACCCCAACAAAGGAACTGCAGCAGGAGAACATCATCAGTTTCTTTGAGGATAACTTTGTTCCAGAAATCAGCGTGACTACACCTTCCCAGGTGAGTGCGGGTTCAGAGCTGGGAAGTCCACTAACGTGCCATGGCAGAGGGACAGTCGGGGGTCAGCTCTGAGGAAATTGGCAGCATTTAGAGCCGATGATGTAAGTTTAATTGTCATTCAGGTTTGTTTTAATTACTTGATATGTCTGAAGCATTCTTAAATGGGAGATGTAAATTATTTGAAAATATTCATATATTTTTAAGAGTAGTATAGACCTATGATAGAAAATTGGGAAAATACCAAAAAGTATAAAATGAAGAATTTTAATAATCACTTAAATCATAACCACTAATGTATTTTGGTTTATTTTCTTTTAGTCTTTTTTCTCCCCAGAGTATATAAAATTTTTGCACCATATAATTCAGATTATCTTGTTATGTGTTCCTGAATTTTCTACTTAATTGTATTGAGCTTTTTTGCATGATATAATATTGTGCATGTAAAAACACAGGATTTAGCCACGGGATTCTATCGGCTGGACGTACCAACCCCTGAGTGTTGGCCGCAGGTTGCTTCTGATTTTGCTCTTGTTTCACCAGCACTTCAGGGAACATGTGTGTATGTATTAATTTGTGTCTTATGCCTTCTGTTATTTCTTTTATATTGATTCTTAGTGGAGAGAACAGGAAAATGGAATTAAAAGAGGTGAATAAGTTAAGTCTTTTGCCCTTCAGCTGGGTGGTATCTATCATTTACATGATGTGGCAGATGGAGAGGTCAGTATTCCTACTGCTTTTGAAGATACCTGGTGGCACAAGTCCCAGCAGCAGCTGCCTGCGGGCCTGTCCCTGCTAGCAGCTGGGTTGTCTCCTTGACTGAGGCATAGTCGTGACTTCCAGAGCTGCTCCCAATGCCATTGAAACCATCTCTTTGTTTTGCAGGTAAAAGCCCCCAGAGAAGTCAGGCCAACACCATTTCCTCTCAGTGTTCTCTGAATTATTTTTTCCTTTTTGCAGGGGTTGCCATTGCATTCTTGCGTTTGCGGGGGAATTCGTTGCCCCCCCTTCCAATTACAATAGTATCCCTCTTACAATCACATCTTGTTGATAATAGCAGAAATAACCAGGACCTTAGAAAATAAGAACTCAGAAGCAATGCAGTGGCAAATCGTGGTTTGTCATCCCTTTTGAGGACACTTATCAACAGGCACAATGCTTTGAACTATTGTTTTCCTACTTCTGTTGTTTGTCTGAGTTGCTGAGTTTGGTAAACTAACTAGGGCTTGAAATGTGATTGAGCGGCTCCTTTGAGGAGGGGGAACTGCGTGTTTATCTGTGTTTGGGCAAATCGCAGGTCTGTGAATACAGAGATGCCACCAGGGACAGCTGTCTTGGAGCTAAAGGATCTTACCCAGCATCTGCCAGTTTCCCTGGCACCAAACATGAGCAGTTTTCATTTCCAATTTTTGTAATCCCTTTATATTTTCTTCTTCCCTGCTTCATTGTCTTTTTTGCTACGTGAATTCTAAAATTGAGACCATTTTAGGGTGATGATGATACCCTTACTCAATTGCTTTCTCCTGGGACCTCCAAGAGCATCCTCTCAATTCATCACAAATGGAGACTTTGGTCACCTAGAAGCCTTGTGTACTTAGACATCCTCAGTTAGTAGACGAAGCAGCTGAAGTAGAGACAGCGTGACACACAGCGTGACTTGTGAAATAAAGATGAGGCTCAGAAGTGTTCTTTCTTTTACATTTTTTCTTTTATTTGCAATTTACTGGCTCCATAGATAAGGACTCTTCATGGTGAGGGGAGAAAAAGAATCAAAGCACTTTTGAAAATTACAAATGCCAAGAGAGGCCCCCCGGAAGCATTAACATTTGCTGATATTGGTGAGTGAAACTGATGCGAAAAGTGAAGAGTTGAGCGAGAAGGAGAGGAAGCTTTCTCCAGTTGCGGCTCCTGCAAGGACAGGGGACATTGGTAGGGCCGCCCGGCTGGCTTTGCTAGTGCTTTGTGCCTGAGCCCAGGGCTGTGGGGAGGGAGGGAAAAGCACCTTCCACCCACACCTTTTGTAACTTCCAGGCAATTTTGAAAGAACTACCCACCAGAGACATGATAGGGGTGCACTTTGGGGGACACAGCCTCACTTATATATACATATTTTTTAAATCTAGGGAGGGGGAAGAAAGGGTTTCTCTCATTTTCCTGCTTCTGAGAAGGAACATGGCTCCAGCAGCTGGACCACACTATGGGAGCCACTGTTTTGAGCCATCAGGATTCCTCCTGGCACCAATGAAAGTACCACTGTGAGCTCACAGCTTTCTTCCAGGGAGTCGAGTGCATGTTATGACTGACCATTTATATCTGTTGCTTCTAAAAATAGTGTGACTGAAAGAGTTCCGTATTTAGGGCTGGTGGACACATACACATATATGTGTGTGCTTGTAATATCAGACGTGTCGATCAGATTGTATGTCAAGCTACATCTTATAAGTGAATGGGTCACAGCCTCTGGATGGCAGTGTGTTTGACAGTGCACAGATGAGTGGATAAAAGGGAATAAATGACAGTGCTTGGGAACAATGAGATGCCAACGGCAAGAAGGTAGAGTATTGAAAACTAGAGAGCTGAGATGTATCCGAAAAGGTTTTCCTGATACATGTAATAATGTAGAATGATATATTTACATTTTACGTTAATATTAATTTTTTCCGTAATGAATCGTCCATATTTAGAAGGTATGTTTATGTAGCCAGTGTGCTATTTTTATCATGTGCTTACTGGGAGAAAAAAAAAAATCTGTGTTAATCCTGCCCAGGAGCTGAAACTGTGATGACTGAAGTGCGCCCAGTCCCTGACGGGTTGTGTGTCTCCAACACTGAGCAGCGTCACAGCCAGGATTCTCTCCTGACTGTCCTGAGACTGAAAACAGAATCTGTCAGGCCTACAGAGCCTCTCATGATGTCCAACATAGCATAGAATTTTCTCTGGAAAAGATCCTATTGGCTCACAGGGAGATGCTCCATGGTCAAGACCCAAGGCCTTACCTTGTTTTTCCGGTTCTGTGTTTACTTTCCTAAGGACAAGTTGCAGCTCTCTATTTTTCCCTCACAAGAACTCAGAAAGAAATCCTGTGTGTTTGTGTGTGTGTGTGTGTGTGTGTGTGTATGTGTGTGTCCTTTTGTTATTTTTTTAAAGCAGCATTTTCAAAGTATGTTTTTGTGGAAGACTAGTCTCAGTGGATGCAGAGAAAAGGGGGTCTTTGGTCATC